TATACAAACTAAGCTACCTATACAAACTAAACTAAACTACATAATACACACAATATAATATGAACAAGAACTTAAAAAATAATGTACTAGAATTGTTGAACAAAAAATTTTGCCCATTGTTCTCTAATTTACGTAATCTCGGATTCGGTAATGGAGATGAATCTTGAAATACCCGAAACATGAATCTTGACTCTTGTAAGCATGCAACATGAATAAAGTTAAATAAACTTAACTAATGTTAAAAGTAATTACCTCCAGTCCAAGAATCAATTAAACCCGCACAAACTATGGCTCTCATCTAATACATTACATAGTAACCACATTCAAACGAGTCAGTTTGCTTATTACACTTGAAATGATGAAAAAAACATAATATTATTTTCAAAATTGAAATACAAACAATAATTATGGTATTCACTTATATAAATAAGTTTCTAACCTTAGGATAAATGAACTGCAAAGTCTTTGTTCTAGGTTTTCCACTTAGAACATTAGTTCCGAGACACGATTCTAAGTAAAAAAAGTCATATATTATTCAATATGTATTCACAATTTAAAAACATAATTAATGAATAAAAGATAAAGTTACCCTTGTAATAAGCTTTTCATTTCTTGACTCGGTTTCATCTACTTCTTCCTCACCACTACTTTCCTCAACTTTGTTTTTGAACCTCGACAAACCACATGTCGGACACATCTTTAATTTAGCAAAATCATTTCTGTACAATATACAATCATTAGGACATGCATGTATTTTCTTGTACTCTAAACCCATTGGACATAATATCTTCTTTGTCTCATAGTTACGAATAGGTAATGTATTATCTTCAGGAAGCATCTCCTTCAACAACTCCAATAATTCGGTGAAACTTTTATCAGTCCATCCATTTCTTGCTTTTAAAGTAAACAATTTTAAAGTTGCTGATAATCTTGTAAAACTACATCCTATGTACAATTGTTGCGCAAAATCAGATTTTAAAGAATTATATAGATGTGCTTTCATAAAATTTTCTTCACCAATATCACGTATCATATCCTCTAGATTATCATCCATCCCTTCATCAAAATTGTCCGTAGTTGACACAGTTGGGATGTCTAATATTTCTCCATGTCATGTCCATATTGTATAACTCTTAATAATACCATAAACAAACAAGTGATCACGTATATCCTCAAGTTTATGACGAATTTGATTCAAACAATGAACACATGGACAATAATATGTCCCTTTCATAGCTTTTCCATTTTCACTAGCAAATTTCAAAAATTCTTCAACTCCCTTTTCGTACTCTTCACTAATACGACGTGCATTCATCCAACTTCGATTCATATTATGTTATAAAGTTTCGTCACTCCTAGAGATTTAAAAATTATATGTAAAAAAAATTAATATACAAACAACAAAGCACGTTCCAACAACAATGGAGTGTGTAAACCGAATGCACTCAAACAAATAAACAAATAATTACATTCCAATAACAATCCAGTGGAGACATTCATACTATAACGTGATTGAGATCCCCAAAAACAATCACGGATTCAATGTAAACATATAGCAATGACATAGAACACTAACCTCGAGTGTAGACGAAAACTGATTTCAAACTCGAATCCAATCGGGGAGAAAGATCAAGTTCGTCAAATGACACGATAATGTAGATGCTTTTCACTGTAAAACTGCTCGAAAATGGTGTGCAGAGGTTGCTGTTGTCGTCGTTCTCGTCGTCGTTCTCAAAAACTCTGGTTGCGCGAGACGAGGAAGTGGGTCTGGAGGGAAATAAAATAGACTTTTTATGTCGCGCATCCCAGCACATTTTACGTCGCGCCTCCCAGGTGCGACGTAAAAGAGGCTTTTTACGTCGCATACTGGATGTGCGACGTAAAATTTTTGTCTCATATTTACAAAATTGCCACCGCATTTTATTTACGTCGAATATACATGCATGCGACGACAATTGGGTGACGTAAAAGCCCTATTCTGCACTAGTGAATATTATTCAATATATATTTACACTTTTAAAACATAATGAAAAAGGACAAAGTTACCTTTGTAATATGTTTTTCATTTCTTAGTTGGGTTGTCGGTGCAATGAACAAAATCACATTATGGTGTAATCCTTAGAAATAATTACAATTAACTGTTAATGGAACCTACATTGTATGACATATAAACTAGTTATAAAATTAAAATTATTAAAACACAAATTAAAATACTAACATTTTAATGTATGAAGCCAAGTATATATGTTTTTGTAGTCACTCATCCATGTTTGCATATGTTATTGGATCTGAACCTTCGTGTTTCCAAAATTTTAGATGGATTGAGGCTCAATAAATCCATATACTTCTGGTTTTTCTTGCTCCACAATCAAATTGTCAATGTATCTAACGTAATGAATTATAAGTTAAATTTAATTATTGTAATGTGAAAAACATAAATGAATATGAGTTACATGACCTACAATTATATAGTAAAAATGTTTAACATGTTGTTTTACCTAACAATATCTAATGCATCAGGTAAAGAAATGTACAGTGCAACAACAAAATTGTCAACTCAAAAAACTCTGGGTCTCATTGTATCAAAGTTAGTTTATTTCTCAATTGTGGTAATATGGCCAGAAGCATAGATATGAGATCATCCTCAGCTTTTGTCATCTTCTTATCAATAACATGTTCTCTCTTATGCTTACCGCGATGGGTAAAATTCTAAACAAATTATAAAACTTGGTTAAACATTGATATAATTATAAGAATACAAAAGAGAGAAGAATTACAACATATATTACCTTTACCTGATTTTACCTGTGCTGAGAATGGCATCACCAAATTTCTTGACCAAGCCAAGAATGTCCTACGTACTTGCCCCACTAGTTAAACCTCCGTATTGGGCAAAATTATTGGAGCAACAATATATCATGAACTACATCAATCACTACTCGCGTCCAATCTAATTGTAGAGGGACACCATGAATGATTAAGTCATCCTAAAAAATTCAACTAATTGCCACTAGACGAGGAGATTTCATCTTCAACATATAACACACACTAGTTTGGTATATCATTGTGGGTATATTCCCCTAAGAGATTTACAGTAGCAACAACACAACTCCTTTAATACTGACTTGATCAACACCATCGTCAATTATATGAGGAGTTCCTTGAGTCTATTGTTGAGAATGAGCAAGAGATTCAAACTTCCTATCAAACTCTTACTACAAATATTGTCATAACTGATTTAGTTTTCTTCAAGATGCATCTCCATTTTGTGTAAAGTCTCTTGACTATAAGTGTGTGAAGTTGTCCTTCGTGATGATGAACCAAAGTATCACGAAGACCCAAAGATCCACTAGTATCATGCACACGCCTTGGATGCTTCGATCTTCCTATGATTGTCGTCAATATGTATTCTCGACCATAAGAAACAAAGAGGAATCAAATAAAATTGACTTTGTAACTTACAAGTTTTTAGTAATGATTTGTGCAAACTCATAACATATTTGTCTATTAAATATACTAGTTTTCTTTCACATCTCATAACAAGAGATAAATATGCAATGTCACTATACTAAAGTTTTACTAACTTTATTTTTATCTTCACAAATTATTGTTATATATCCGTCCTATAACATATATGAGATGTATCATTCAACTTTTTATCCTTTTTTACAACAAATCTTTTATTCTGTAATGCAATTAAACAAAAAATCAAACTAGTACATTATGTACTAAAACAAGAATTATAATAAACTAACATTGTTTAATTTTTTTTATATTGAGTATTTTTGGAGAGATTAAGTTGGTCCAGTATAAATTTCTAGAAGAAAGTGCTAAAGAGTTGTGTTTGTAAAAAAATCTCGGTGCAGATTAACTTGCTTTTTTCGGAATTTTATTTGGTCTTTCATTTATATGCGAGAAGACTAAAAGAAGGAGATGGTGATTAATTTGAAATGAAATTTCATTAAAAACACATGTTAATCAATGGTACAAGAATAAGAAATACTTTTATTTTCTTTTTCAGTTTCCCTTTTTAATAATAAGAGAGAAGTTTGTTTACATGAAGAATATGCTTATGACTAGCAATGGACTTCGAATTTGGGAAAAATAATCGTTTAATCCATAAAAAGACGTAACATACTTAGTTTATAGGTCAAATTTCTCTACAATTGGAAGTGTAGGATGACTTGCGTTCTTCCCAAATTGATTTTCCCTTTATAAAATATTGACTTACCCAATCATAATCTCGTGTGAGACTTTATATATTTGAAAATAGAATTGAAGATCTAAGAAACGAGAACAATATTATTGTGAACCCATGCAATAAACCCAATCTTGTTCTTCAGGGACAATGAAACAAATATGGACCTATGTCAGTTATTATAATAAAGTAATTATTTTTTAAAACTTGCAATAATATAAAAATATTGGGTATAAATTTTAAATTATTTAAATAATTAATTATAAATAAATTACAAAAAAATATTTTACATACCAATTAAAAAAAAGTAAAGTATAATAACAATCAAATAAAAACTACACATTAAAGTTACATGTATAAAAAAATTATTAATAATTTATCAGGGAATATAAATATATTTAAATAAATAAAAATTCTTTAAACTGTTGTTTTATCTTACTAAAATGTTGTCACCGTTGTTTCACCCATGAAGTTCAGAATTTCTTCCAACCACTGTATTGGGAATAAAATTCTTCTTACATGCTGTGTCAGTGTGTGACTGTGATACTTTTTCAACAAAGGAACTCATCGTTCACATTTTTCAAATTAATTAATAAACATTTTTTTCTCTGTGGTTCGCGTTGCGCACCGTCTTCTGTTACCAGCTTGAACCATCTTCAGCTTCAGTTTCTTACGGTTCTTTCAACTTTTCGTTTACCCTTTTAGGTCTGGGACAAACCCAGTATGCTATCTGCCATGGAGGATAAAAAATTTCCAATTTTCCTTTGATTGGGCATAAGTGAGCAAAAAGGGTAGTGAAGCAATGCGTAAAGCGATTGCGTTTCTCGTTCATCCACGACTTCTCCTTCTCTTCCTTGTTCTCTCAATTTTCCTCATTTTCACATTTACTGGTTCTATTACTACTTATGGTTCTACTACTCCAAAACAGGTGCGCCCTTTAACTCTTTACCCGTGCATGTTGCTGTGATTGTGGATCTGATTTAGGCAATTGGGCGGGGTTTCAGGCATAATGCTGGTATTAGTGTTAGAGTGACGGGGTTTGGTACTTTTGTTCTGAGTTTGTTTCCACTGATCTGAACGTTCCATTCCAATTGTTTGTCACGTTGTTTGTGCTATACTTCCATCTTTACTTTCTTTTTGCTGATAGAATAGAATGAAGTTAAATTGCGCGTTTTTGTCTTTTTGATTTTGCTTACATTATCTGTTATGCTTCACTGAGGAAGTGCGCGTCTTAAGCAAAACTCTTTTATGTAATTGAACGGCATTGCTTTCGGCTGCATTTTGAATTTTGCTATTGTAATTATTCTTATTATTGTTGGCCTCCTTCTACACAATTTGATTACTGATGAAATCTCAAGGCTCAATTCTGTGGATAGTGCTGTAGCTGTGTAGCATGCTTATGCATTATGATCCGTTCCTTCTTCATTTATTCAAGTTGCTTAAGGTCCTTTTTAGGTGGGTTAGTGTATGTAGTACTAAGAGTATGGACTTAGGTAATGTATTTCAATTTCCATGCGCGGACTAGCCGAAAAACTAAGTAACTTCATGAGCAAAATGGGGTCTAGCTGCGAAATTGCATCAAGGGAGGGACATAACAAATATAGCCTGTTTGAAAAGGCATCCATCTCTATAGACCAATTTTGTGTACTGTATTGGCTTTAGAAAGAAAAAGGATAATGGAGATTCAAAAGGATGGTGGAGACACGGAGGGTGTTATTTCCCATGATTCCTTTAAGTATTGGTGACAGGGTATCCACACTACAGGGTCCCAGGCACAAGATGCATTTAGTGCTCATAGAAGGGTATGATCAAATAGAAATATGATAGAAATTGATGAAGACAGGGTACTAGGTTAGGATAGCATAGGGCTGGAAGAACGTGACATAGATAGAAAGAGGAGGGTATTTTGATGAGAAAGGAAATAGGAAAAACTGTTGTAGTCCCAAGGTAAGCAATAATGCCAGTGTTAATTTTATCCTTTGATTTCAGTTTGAGTCTTCAGCTGAAATAAAACCATCGTGTTTTCTGTTCAAACTTTCTCGTTCCCAGCTTATGAGAAGCATTCCCTGCTTTTGGCGTGTTACCTTTGTTTATATTTGAATGAGTTTGCAGTTTAGGTTTGTATCTTCAAAATTGGAACTTACTTCTGTAGTTGTGGCGATAGCTCTCTATTTGGTATAGGTTCATTGGTTTAAAGTTGTATCACGAATCACATTCTGAACATAAGTGAAGTTTTTTCTATTCCACTATAAAATGTGTGTATCTGTATTGAGAGCATTTTTTTTTATTAACTGTAAAATATCTATAACATTAAACTATGACTCTTGCATTATTAATAATCTTAAAAAGTGCTCTCATTTAAGAATAAATCCTAAAAGCGTTCTAATGTAAGCATAGTTTCTAAAGATGATTTAGATTTATAATACAGCAGTAGATTAGGTGTCTATTAATTTGTGTAAATAAGTGTTATTGCTTTAGTCTTTGAATAAGATCATTATATCAGATTTCTATGCTTATATTTTAGGATTATTTTCTTTTTCTCTTTTCTCTTTCTCATAAAACCGTGTAATCTCAACGAAAGGTCATCAGTAAATTTTTCCCACGTATGATTTCTTTCTTAAGTGATAAACTTTTCTGTTTTCTGATGTAGGTTTTTGAGGACAAAGTAGAACAGGAGCCTGAAATTACACACAGAGTATTCTTGGACATTGATGTTGATAAACAGCGTTTAGGTTGTCTCGTAATATTTTTTGAAATTTTACCCATTGCATTCATTTGAATCAATTTGACTCACAAAATACTTTGTTACGAAGAGGATGTAGAGAAATAAAAGCAGCAATTCAATCAGTATAAAAAACTGCCATTTTTCCTTTCTTATTTCTACTAACAACCTTCACTATGCAATAACTTCTGCAGGTAGGATAGTGATTGGATTATATGGCCAAGTTGTACCAAAAACTGTGGGTATGTCATTGTTCTTCTATTTCATGTTCTCTTTTCTGCAACTTAATTGCTTAAAGAATATAAATTTTTATTTTTCCTGAACCAAGAGTCAGCTTCTCTAGTAGAAAATGTAATGTTTTTGGATATTCATTTTCTTTCAGTCTTTTGTACAGGGTGTCTAGACTTCAGTTATTCTGTAAATTCGAACTTAAATGTGCTTGATGATGGATATATGCTTACCTATTGTAATATTTACACATACTTTACAACATCGCAATTTCTAATGACTGAATTTTCTGTCTGCAGAAAATTTTAGAGCTCTGTGTATAGGTAGCTGGTCTCTTCTTCATCTTGTTTATTAATTTAATCCCGATTGGTCCTTGCACTGATTAGGAGTGTTTCATGTTGTGTAGGGCAGAAAGGCAAGAGTGCAAATGGCATAAAGCTTCATTACAAAGGAACACCATTTCATCGGATAGTATCTGGTTTTGTGATTCAGGGTGGAGATATTTTTCATCATGACGGTAAAGGGTCTGAATCTATATATGGTGGCACTTTTCCTGACGAAAATTTTAAGATTAAACATTCTCATGCTGGTGTGTAACAATTTGCTTGGTTGCAAGCATTTAATTTTATTCAATATTTTAGAACTTGATGTTTTTCTGTCATTTCTAAAATGTGCTTGAGTTGTTTATATGAATCATGCTCCCATGATTTCAGGCGTTGTCTCCATGGCAAATTCAGGACCTGACTCCAATGGCTCACAGTTTTTCATTACCACGGTGAAGGCCAGTTGGTAAGTTTTTTTTGTCCTCAGAGTGCATGGTTTAGACAATTTCTAGACTGGGGATCAGACGCAGTTGGAATAAGTTCTCATAGGTTAAGCGTAGTCTTTTTAAGGTCTGTGCACACACGTGTGTATCAAGAGATCACACAACCTTACATGCTTAAGATTTAAAGTCAGTTAGTAGTCAGGTCACATGACCACTTTAAGCGTATTTATTTATTTTTAATCTCATTCATTCAAATATAATCTATTCCAGATTTGTGGTTCTCATTTACCAGAATGACAAGAGTTCTCCCTTGGTATACTTCCTATATACAAATAAATATTGTTATTGTTCTAGAGAAAGGCCTTGAATAAGATTTTAGGGCTTTCTTTAGAATTCAATATTTGTTACCTACCCATCATGAAGGCCTATATTTGTTACCCCCTACATCCTAAGTTATCATGGTCGGGGGTTGATAGTTTTGTTTGTTGGATTGTTGGTCAGGACACTTCCACTACTTGGTAGTTTTACAATTATTAGCATATTTTGCATTCAGTTAGTGATCTTGGGTAACGGACCACAATTATCACTGTGGGTGGTTTCATGAATGTGGCCGACGTGTAATATAACATCACAGTTAGGATTTAAGCGCAAAAGGTTAACTCAATCTAAAAGATTAGTCCATTGGCAGGGAGAGTCTTCAGACTTTAATGCACCACATTAAGCTTTTCATTCTACTTAATGTGAGACTCTTAACATTATCACACGATGACTTTCACAGTATCGACAATGATCCAATGGTAATTCTTCCTCATTGGCGACTTCATTCATATATCAGTATTTAGATTGTACCTTAATCTAAGTTATAGATGGTCTTTTCCGTAGCTCGACTCTCAGTGAAACACCAATTGTTAGGACTCAAGCATATCAATAGATCTAAATATTAGTCCAATATAGGTCGAAGAGGCCTGAAGTCTAAGTAGTGTTTCAAATGATTCATTTTGCTTAATGTGAGTGAGAGTCCAACACATAGACCCGCCTTTGAATTTGTTATTATAAAGGAAAAATATTTACTGAGTGTGCCATCATCACTAGTTAAAACTAGTTAGTTCTGTTATGATATGCAAAAATTGCAGGTTGGATGGAGAGCATGTTGTATTTGGCAAAGTTGTTCAAGGCATGGATATTGTGTATGTAATTGAAGGGGGAGCCGGAACCTATAGTGGGAAACCCAGAAAGAAGGTTGTGATAGCAGACTCTGGGGAGATACCCAAGAGCCACTGGGACGATGACAGTTGAACTTCCTCCTTTGGTAACCCAACACTAGCACATGCTTGGATTATGGTTTGGCAAAACTATGTTTTGGCTTGGTTCAAACATGCCTCCTTGACTTCAAAGATAATTGGTAGAATTTTATTGTTAAAAATATACTGAAAAGTTTCTTTTTATATGTAATGATCAACAAACTGTACTTGGTATTTTGTTTTTGCCTGTTTTATGTTTTTCTGTTATTCTATATTTTTTAAAGATAACTTTTGTGTACAATCTCAAAAAATTATTAGAAATATTAAATATCACAATAAATTGAAATTGTGATTATTATTTGTTTATAAAAATAAATAAATCAATTTATTAAATCTTAAAAGGCTTTTCCAAGTCATTCAAAGTTTAACATTTTTAATTGCATAAAATTTTAAATAATATCCTAACTTATTTATTGAATAAATAACTTTAGCTTGACATAAATTATAGAATCCAATAAATTGTCCGACATGATTTTAATCAAAGTTTAAGAATTGGAAGTTGTTAACTACTCTCCCATTTGGATGAATTTTTTTGTTGGCACATACAAAAGGTGAGACAGAAAACTAGCAGCACCAGGTAACAAGTTATCGTCTAAAACCTCTGTTGAAACTGGTGGAAGATTAAGCCTTTAAACAGAATCAGATAAAACAGATTTTGGTTTATTGTTTGATAGAAGTTGAAAGCAATGCAATTGAAGCCAACAAATGATTTGTATTATTGGAAGGGGTGATATCCGACAACCATAAGAAAATGCCACAACCCACATGTTCAGTCAGAGAGATATTCTTTTCAAATCAGCATATGAAGTTATGTAAAAAGTTATTTGATTCTGAAGTTAACAACATGTAGTCATTTGTTATAAAGTATAAGCATGAGTGTAACACATATAAGAAAAGTTATTTCTATTTTGATGAATATTTTGAATGTTAGTGTCTTTATTGTTAATTAATACTGGTGTTTACCATATGGGGCTGAACACAGGAAGTAAAAAGGATTTAAAAAACATGTGGATTGCAGCACAAGATTTTTGCACAGATCATGTCGTGTCTCTAAATTTCATGGGTACTTTTGTCATAATGCATGTAATGAATGAATGCATAACATAACACAACCAGCAACCATGTGTTTTACATCACGTCCTTTGCCTTCCTGTCTCATTTTTTATTGGGCTTCGCCTGTCCAACTTGCATCCTCTATCGTCCAATGATCTCAACGATACACCTCCTCCCCCCATAAGAAAATAAAATTAAAAAATCACAACTTTAAGCATAACAAACGTATAAGAGAATATCCTCTCTTTTCTATGATGTCTGAACTGATAAATTTTTTTAAGGGCAAGGAACATTTAATTACACCCACCTGCAAGAAAAGAAAATTTAAAATATATTAGATGAAAACTCAACCAAAGGTATATTAATTGGACAGTAAATAATGACTAAGAATGAACTTTATGTCAGTAATATATGAGAAATGAAAGTCTAATGTTCAGGCAAAAGCTAATAATAAAAACCAAATAAATGATAAAAATATGACTTCTAATAATGTTATATAATATAATATTCTAAAAATTTTATCTTTAGAATAAACTAGATAATAGGATGATTATTTTTGAGGAAAATTATTATTATTGATCTTATATTACTAATATAATATATCTTAATTAACTAACATTATCTTTAACATGATTAAAATAATCACCTTTTTGGAAAGTTTTTATTATTAATATTATATGTAAGATATTTGTTAACCGATAAATATTATATTTTGATTGAGGTAAATAGATTAATACGTAACACTGCACTAAACTATAAAATTCAAAACTTTGTTGCTGCATTATCTTGGCCATCAGATCCATTAGCCTTTCCCAAATTACAAAAACAGAGTGTACAGTATATTTTTGGTGAGGAGAAATTCACTTGGGACATAATTTTATTTTGTGTTTTTGGATTGAAAGCAACAAATTTAAGAATCTAGACATGGAAATTATGAGTTGAAAGGAGTGTCCCTGTCCTCAGTGCCACCAAAGAGCTGAGAATTGAGTCCAACCAAACACAACATCACCTCAGCCAGCCACCATTCAAACGTGAGACGCCGAAACTCTGTTCTCTGTGTCTCTGTGTGTGTGTGCGTGTTGGGGTGTATTATCATGATGGGTGGCAACGAGGATTCCAACAATAAGGGCGATTCTCCATTCGAATCATCGGCATCACAACCCTTTCTATCGAAACCCTCGTACCCTTCTTCGACATCTTCGGCAGTGGAAGAAGAATCCGAGTCAAACCAGCAATACCATCACATCACTTACAATTCAGGTCCTCGCTCCTTCAAGGACCTCCCTTTCCTCATCCTCTTCCTTCTCTTCATCATCTCCACCTTCGCCTTCGGCATCTTCGCCGTCTTCCACCGAAACACCAACTACACCTCTCTCTCATCTTTCTCCTACGACCCCACCTCCTCCTCCTGCGTCCTAAACCCTTCTTCCTCTTCTTCCTCCCTTTCCAACTTGCTTTTCCTCGATTCTTCCTCGCACTTGGTCAAGGGTCTCATATGGACCCTCGTCATCACCTTCGTTCTCAGCATCCCCTTGTGCTGGGCTATGCTTCTCTTACTCAAACATTACACCAAACAGATTGTCTACGCTGCGATTCCCTTCTTCATCGCCATCCCAATTTTCCTCAACGTCTATTGGTTCGTCGCATGCATTCTCGGTGCGACTTGCAGTTCTGCCTTCCCCCTCGCGTACCGGATTCTCGTCATGGTCTTTGTCTTCTTGGTGATTGGGGTCCTCGTGTGGATCTTGGTCGTGAATTGGCATCGCGTGGAGCTCACTGTCAGCATAATTGGGGTCGCTTCCCATGCACTTTCCAGGAATTTGAACTTGTTCGGGGTGCTGCCTTGTTTGATTGTTGGGCTTGTCGTGTATTACGTTCCAATAGTGATTTTCATGGTGTTTGCGAGGTTTAATGGGCAGATTGTGGTGAAGAATTTGGAGCGCGGATATGCTTGTGTGTGGAAGGAAGATTCATGGGTTCCCGCTTATTTTGCTTTAGCTATTCTCACCATGTTGTGGTCTGCGTCAGCTATGGTCGAAGCTCAAGTTTATGTCATCAGTGGCACCATTGCTAATTGGTATTTCTCCAAGGATCATCAAACTCCTAAGCGGAGTATTCGAACTTCTCTCAGGTCAGCATTGTCGTTGTTGTTGCCTTACATTTGTTTGCTTATATCATGCTCATTTAGAATCCACTGTTAGTTTGGCTTAAATGTGTGCTTTGATTTGTCTTTAGCACATCTTTGTTTATATAACAATTTTCACCTTCTAAATTCTTACTCCAGTAGTCCAGTGTTTAAAGTGCTTGGTTTGAAATGTTCTTTGATTCCACTTTCAGGTTTTGTTTATGGAAATAGCCCTTGTTGGTTGCTCTGAAAGTTTCTTAGTTCAATATTGCTTCTACCTTTTAGCTTCTGAATTTAATATCGTAGTTCCCTCTAGTGTACGCCATGATTGACTCATAGTATTACTGATGAAAAGAAGTGTTCAACTGTGTTGACTGTTTGCTTTTCATTTAGGAAGACATTAACTGTGGGATTTTTGGCTTGCAGAAATGCTTTTGGTCCTTCTTCTGGTACGATATGCTTGTCGGGATTGCTTATCTTTGTTGTTCGAATGGTGCGTTCTGCGGTTGATAGTGCAAGACAAGAGGATATTCCCGGGATAGTGAACCTTGTACTGCGATGCTGTGTGAATGCCTTACTGACAGCAGTTGATTTTCTCAACAAGTTCACCATAAACTTTGCTGCGATAACTGGTGAAGCCTACTGCTCTTCTGCAAGGATGACGTATGAACTTCTAAGACGCAATCTTCTCTCTGCTGTTTTTGTGGAGACCATCTCATCTCGCATTCTGGCTGGGATTGTTTTTGTCTTTTCTGCAACATACACAATAGTGGTACGTGATGATCATATGAAATTTATATTAGAAATTTACGGTGATTTCTAAGTTCTTAGCATGGGCATATCCTCTTCAAGCATGAAATAATTTGTATAGTAACGAAAGTTAGGTTGGGGTATACAAAATTTATGAAATTAAAACTTTAAGTAGAGAAGTACTCCTATAAGATTGTGATAAGTGCTAATTACTACCAATCTAAACTATTTGAGCAAGTAATTCATTGAAGACAAAGAGTTCTTGCAAGTTGTTAGAAAAATGAAAGAATACAAGCAACTACAGTACAGAATCCCATTCTTGTCTTCCTGCGCAACTGAATTCAATAGCCAAATGATGAAATTATGGTTAAGATCGTTACCTTGAGTTAAAACCATGACTCAAATTAATTTTTCTAATTCCCTAGACAATGTTTAACCTGATTAAGCAATTGTTAGGACTTACGTACAAGAGGAGAGTCCAACCCAAAAGACTAGTCCATTTTGTGGTAAAGCCTGAAGGCTTGAGTACCACACTAAGTAGTTCATTTTACTCATTGTAGGACACCCTTTTAAGTGCCGTCTTGAGCTTCAGTCATCTATCAGTTTTTGTTTTGCACCGTAATCCAACCTATAGGTAGGTAGTTTTCTTCATAGCCCAACTCTCAATGAAACACCAATTGTTGGGACATAAGCTCAAGAGGAGAGTTCAACACAAAAGGCTAGTCCATTAGGTGGGAGAACCTCAAGGCTTAAGTACTACATCAAGTGGTTCATTCTACTCTACCCCCGATGTTCAATTGCCACACAGACCTACGATCAGTTGCTACATAGAAAAACTAAAGAAACACCAAGAGTAACGAGACAGATGCACAAATTTCATGGAATAAACTTGTATAAACAATTTCAGATTACATAAAGATTCAATTTAAGTTCATCAACCTTATTTACCCTAGAGAGGTTGGGTACACATGCAAAACGAAACAAGAAAACAAGAAAATAGAAGGGATAGAATGAATGTATATGTACTGCTAGATCCTTTCCCAAGGACTCCAGAGTTTGAAGAATGTTTTGGAACTCTTTGATCTTCTATTACTTCGTGTATCTTCTTTTGGTCCACAGATCATTATACACTCTTGACCAGCAACCTTCAGTGCCTAGTGTTGGCACTGACTGGAAACTCTTGAGCCTGACCCTTGGTGGCTTTCTAGCGGTGGGCACTCCAAAATAGTATCTCACTGTAATTTCAGCGCATGATGCTATAGAGACCACCTAATACTGACTTTGTTGACCTTCTACTCCCAATGCTGAATTGCTGAGGAGCTCAAGTCTAGGTTATTTAGATTTTATTTTTATCCAAAATTAGATTATAGAAGTCATTAAAATAATGCAAATAGCATGTAAAAATATAAAATACTAAATTTCACATTTAAATGTCAAAATTTAAATATGAGAAGCTAATTTCCCTAATTATACTAAGGACTACAGTTAGCTATAAATCTCCATTAATTGTAGATTTATGATGTAGCTCTCTTGTAGTTTGACCTGTGGATGTTGAGAATTTGTTTGACAACTTGCAAGTTACAATATTTTCGTCCATTAACATCTCTACAATTTTACTTGGTAGCCACAAATTGCTGTCAATTTGTACTTAATTCCTTGGTAATTGGTTTGAGGTTAGAAGGAGGTTGCGGGACGATACAAGTCAGTTGATTGAAACTTCATTTTCTTATGAAACTTCAGGCTCCGGGAAAATAATAGGATCCTTTTTATCCGTTTACGGATAAAAAACTTAGCAGTAATTGATGGACTTGGTTATTCTGTCTATATAATAAATGGTCACTTGTTTGTTTTTCTGTTTTAACGTTACCTAATGCTTCTTATATCAATGTTTATCTTGATTGTTAATGTATAATCAGGCCTGTGCTATCTTAAAAGCTGGTACCAATCTTGGGGCTGATTCATATTTTGTGGCTGCGATGGCATGGGTGCTACTGATAGTAGTGCTGGGTTACCTCGTGCATGTGCTAGACAATGTAATCGAAACAATTTACATCTGCTATGCTATAGACCGGGATAGAGGAGAGGTTTGTAAACAAGAAGTTCATGAGGTTTACGTTCACCTACCCATAAGTAGAAGTCTCAGACAGTCTGTTCCCACAAGAACACTAGGTGTGTAAATAATTATTGAGATACGAATGTCTTTTCTTCCTGGGATTGCTATTCTATGGACAGTGTGGAGTTAGAATTGTCTGGGGCTGTGACTTGTGAGCCTCTTGTGCATACACTCCCGAGTGCTTCTGCTATTAATTTTTGTTTTTAATTTTTTCTAATTTAGTTAATCTGAAAGTTGACTGCAGTTTTGTGTAACCTAAATCATGTATATTTTATTTGGGGGAACGTGGCACTTACACGGTTAATCAGAAAGATTTGTTGGAGAATTTAGCAAAATGTGTATTGTTCTTGTAGTGCATTCATTCTCGTTTGTTTGCTGCATTGTTTTGCTTTGATCCCCCTTTAGGCGCTTGTATACTGTCTTAGTCACGAACCTGTGTATACCTATAAAAGCTGCAATTCTACAATTCCAAGTATTCTTCTGGTACTTCTTCCTTTCAAAGATGTACTTTTTTGTCTTAGACATGTACAGAGGGTTGCTGTGCCCAGCCATATCAATCAGTCCCTGTGCATTGAATAAGTTTCAAAAAATTAATGAGAATTATAAGTTAATTTGATGTTTCTTGAATGAAAAAGAAAATCAAACACTTTCTTATTGAAGTGGCTGGTAAACTCCAGTTCAATTCTCGAAAAGAAAAAGCTGTGTTATTTATGATTCATTAAAATTGGTGTTCAGTTGCCTCATATGATGAAAAGAAGTTCTAATTTATTGGAAGACCAGTATTAAGTAGTTTAGGAACTAATAAAAATTGTTTTTTTTTTTATTTCTTAAATTTAAAGTTTTAGTGAGAGTGCTTACTTGTAGAGTACATATAAAAACTTGTCTAGTTTAAGAAACTGTCTTTTATTTTTATTAATGATCAAACCAATGCTACTTGTTTTAAAATTCTTATTTACAAAATTTGTACAAATAATGAAAATAGGTTTTATTATTTTCACTATTCTTATACATTTCTTAAAATATAAAATAAAATAAAAAATTGGCAATATCTTGTGGAGAGGTGTGATTCACTATACTTGGTCGAATACTCTTGCTGGAGGGCTCATGCTTTTATTTTTAAAGTAATAACTTTTTTTTTACAGCCCAAATCCTTCTTCTTCTTTTCCCCCCATCAAATCTAAGAATGTGCATTGAATTTTGGCAATAACTCCAAATTCTCCAACAAAATCCTCCAATTAATAGCATCCAGCTGAGATACGTGATCCATCGAACTGGACGAGTAAATGCACAATAATTGGTGATGACAGGCAACGTTATATTCGGCCAAGATTTTGAATGGAGAAAGGCTGAAGAAATTATTATATAATAATCTCACATCACGGCTTCTCCGCCAATTTTCATGTGACCTTAAATTAAAATATATAATCATGCATAGGTTTCTTTTATTCTGATGTGAATATAAAATTGTAAATCATATAACATTTTCTTATAAGAGATATGAAAGATTATTTAAAATCTCTTTTAACTAATAATTCTCGTACCCTTTTGCATGATATATATTGGATTATGTTTTATTTTTATAAAATATTTAATTTAATAATTTCTTTCTACTATTATTGTAAGCATCATGAGTATAAATATTTTAGCAGGAGAAGAATTAATATGAAAAAACTATAACATTACTTTCTTCCAAAACTCATTCCCAACTCTTATCAAAATATAAATAATAGACAATACTATATTCCTAGCATACCTCTTCTAAGTATTTTTCATACTACCATTTCTTTGATCTTGAAAATGAAATCACACAGAATGGAAAAGAAGAAGAGGTTTGTGGGTTTAACAAGCTAACTGGGTTTCAGTGATCAACAATTCCAAAAGACAAAAGTTCTTTGTTTCTTGGATTCCATCACGTGAAAGCTGGCTCTGCCAAAGTGACAGTGTCAATTATTCATGTGTCACTCTTGCTGGTCCTTCCTGGCTCAGTAAAATTCGGTATCAAGAAATAAACCACATCATTCAAAATCTCGAAATACATATATAAACTGTTTTTTGCCAACCATGGCTTCTCTGCATAAAGTTTGATATATATATATATATATAAACTATTTCAGTAGCAGTTTATATTACTCCACGAAAAGCTTCTCTTTGCTTTGCAGGTTGGTGAAAGAATATGATAAACTGATAACACAATCATAACTACGTACCCTATAGGCTATAGCCAGATGAGATAACGATACACAAGTTGAGCAAACCGAAAACTGCAGATGCATCAATGGGGTCCAAAATAATATGTTGAACATATCAAGCATGCATCTTCACTCTCATACTCTTCTGAACGAGCATGAGCATAGCTCAGAACTCACCTACCTCACATGCTCTTGACTTTTAAGAAAGCATGCTTGTTCTGTTTTTATATATGCAAAAATTAGAATGTAAAATAATCATGATCTTGAATATACATTGAAATTGATTTTAAAATTTATTCCATTTCATCTTAGATGTGATTGGTTTTTGTTATGAATATTTTTTCAATCTCATTTTTTTGGTTGTCTTAATTGTTGCTTCTGGTTATATTTTGTGTATTTGTGGAGTTTATAAAATCAACAGTGGTTTAATGACTTGGCGATCAGAGTTGTGTTGTGAGATTGTCGAATTTTGTGATTATAAATGGTGTTGAAGGAACTTGCTATTAAGATATGAAAGCTGTCGTTTTAGACTTGACTCTGAACCATGAGAATTGTGAATGCACAAACATTGCAAATGAAATGAAGTTGTGATTGACCTTGGAAATGTGATAGGGAAGTAGCAGACATTCACAATCAATGGCAATGGTGGTCTTCGTTTGACAAGGATGCAGCAGCAAGGAGCATGCAATGGAGGATGTGCTCTCAAGTTTGTTCTCTTCGCTGAAACATCTGAAAACAAAATCACAAAGAAAAGTAGGAAAGAATGTAGTACCGAAGCTAACTCACAAATAGGTTTTTATTATTGTTATATTAAGATTTTTAGTCATCCATGTATTGTGTATAGACGTCCATTACTCAAAAAATATTTGTATAATGCTACAAATAAACATACTGAGATATTCGGGTGCATATCTCTGACCATCTAAAATATCCCAAACATTTTAATAGGAAAAAATCTCTTAACTCATACACAGTTATGATTTATATTATTTTATAAAAAGGTTATGTATTTTTTTTTTCAATTCATTCATCTTATTACTCGTTAGCTCGCATGTTGACTTATACATCGAAGAGTTTATTTTGCCGGTATTATCCTTCTGTTCTTACTTTTTTCTTAAGCTTAAAGATATTTGCACGTCCTCTTTAATTGAGGTAATAATAATTATATAATTAAAAGTATCTCGAATTATCACAGTTGATTTTAACAATAAAAAGTATACTTTTTTATTCTATTTTAAGCTGTTATAATGGTTTAATTAATTTCCATATTTTTTTTATCAATTTAGTTTTTGGTTTTGAAAGCTCTAAATTAATTTCAGGAGCTTGAAACTGTTGATGAAAAAGGTCTTAAATAAAATATCAAGAGAAAAAATTAATATTGAGAGAGGTATTATTAAAAATAAAAGTAATAAAGTGTATTACTCTTTCATATAAATTGTATATATGTTGAATATAGAAGAAATAGAGTTTGGGATTAATCTCCCTTGTGTATAAATCACACATAGGGTAGTCTATTTATAGTAGAGAGATACAACTAAAAGAGTAACTCGAAAGTAACAGAATAAACAGAAGATATTGTTAGATATTATGGTTAATATCTAACAATATCTTAACAATATTAAATAATATCTAAACAATATCTAACACTCCCCTCAAGCTGGAGCATACAAATCGTATGTGCCAAGCTTGTTACAAATATAATCAATTCTAGGACCCCGTAAAGATTTAGTAAAAATATCTCGCTTAACTGATCACTTGAGTTAACAAACTCAGTCTTGATGTCTCCGGACATAATCTTTTCTCGAATGAAATGACAGATCAATCTCAATGTGTTTGGTCCTCTCATGAAAGACGAGATTAGAACTAATATGAAGAGCAGCACTGATTGTCACACACAAGTGACATTTGAGTGACATCTCCAAATTGTAACTCTCTAAGCAATTGCTTGAGCCAAACAAGTTCACAAGCAATCGAGGCCATAGCTCTATATTCGCTTCGCACTAGATCTTGCCACAACACTTTGTTTCTTACTTTTCCATGAGACCAAGTTACCACCAATGGAGACACAATATCCAGATGTAGATCTTCTATCCGAAGGAGATCCCGCCCAATCAGCATCCGAGTAGCAAACAACTCTTGTATGGTTATTAGAATCATATAACAATCCTTTTCCAGGAGATCCTTTAATATACTTTAAGATACGAATGATCGCATTCCAATGATCTTCACATGGGGAATTAAGAAATTGGCTTACCACACCGATCGCAAAGGAAATGTCGGGACGAGTAACCGTAAGATAATTCAATTTTCCAACCAATCTTCTATACTCGCTCAGGATCGATATAGGCTCCCCCGATTTGGTAGAAGTTTAGTATTGGGATCCATGGGTGTATCAACGAGACTTTGAACTCATCAACCCAGCTTCCTCCAAAATATCTATGGCATACTTCCTCCGAGATATAACAATACCATCATTGGACCGTGCCACCTCAATACCCAAGAAATATCTAAGTTTGCCAAGATCTTTGGTCCGAAAATGGTGACAGAGATGTTGTTTCAACCGAGAGATGCCATGACTGTCACTACCCGTAAGAACGATGTCATCAACATATACTATCAAGTAAACACATCCAAGCACTCGAGTGTCGATAAAAGACGGAATGATCTCGCTTCACACCGAGTCATACCAAATTGTCGAACAACATTGCTAAACTTTCCAAACCAAGCCCTAGGAGACTGTTTTAGGCCATATAGGGATTTGCGAAGACGACATATCATCCCGTGAAGACTCCCCCGAGCAACAAACCCAGGAGGTTGCTCCATATAGATTTCTTCTTGCAAATCACCATTGAGGAAAGCATTTTTAACATCTAGT